CTCTGGGTAGCTGGCTGTGACCAAGCAGTGACCACAACCTAGCTCCTTGTCAGCTGTACTATACACCTGGGGATTCTGATCATTCACATAAACTTATAGGACCATTGTATGCCAATCCTATATATGATCTTGGATACACTCCCTCTTTCATAGACATACTTAATCGTTTAGCCTGTCCACCTATCTATCCATCCATGTACCCATGTTTGCCTTCACTGAGAACTCAGTACTGTATATGCAAAAGGGTTCATATTTGTTGTCTGAACTTCCCATGTACCTCTCTATGTCTTTCTCATCCTCAATGCTGCCATATTGGTCACTCACATTTGGTACATTAAAATTGGCCATTTTTAATCACACAATCATATGGTCTATTATGCCTGGAATGACAAACTGAAGAGGAATGGCATAAAAAAGAATATTTCTTATCTATAGGTATATAGAACTATATATGCCTACAAGGATGACCAGTTACCACTACTATTATTCAAATTTATGTACCAACCACTAATGACATAGATGAAGGAACTGAAGATTTTTATCAACTTCTGCAGTCTGAAATTGACCAACATGTAATCAAGATGTATTGATTATTACTGGTGATTGGACTGCAAAGGATGGAAATGAAGAGCACTGGTAGTTGGAAAATATGACCTTAGTGATAGAAATCATGAACAAAATTTTGCAAGACCAGTGACTTATTCATTGCAAATATCTTTTCTCAACAACATAAATGACAGCTATACAAGAGGACCTCACCAGATAAATACACAGGAATCAGACCTACTACATCTGTAGAAAGAAGCAACAGAGAAGTTCCATACCTTCAGCTAAGACAAGGTAAATCCATTCACTTATGGATGGCTGATCTTCAATAAAGGGCTGAAATCCATTAATGGGGAAGAGAGAGTCTCTTTAACAAATGGTGCTGGCAAACATAGATATCCATTTGCAGAAAAATGAAACAAGAGCCACATCTCACATCATATACAAATACAAACTCAAGATGGATCAAAGACCTCAATGTAAAAGGTAAAACTGTAAAGAACATTAAAGAAAATATAAGGCAAACTTAAAGGACCTATTTTATGGCATATAGGCTATCCAGCATAACCAAAAATACATAAACAGTAGAAGATAAGCTAGATAACTGAGACTTTCTAAAAAGTAAACACTTATGCACATCAAAAAACTTCTCCAAAAGAGTAAAAAGAGAACCTACATATTGGGAAAAAATATTTGGCAATGACATCTGACAAGGGACAAAGCTCTAAAATTATAGCAAATTTCAACACCAAAAAAAGAAACAATCCAATTTAAAAATGGACAGAAGACGTGAATAGGCACTTCACCAAAGAAGACAGTCAGTCAGCCAACAAATATATGAAGAAACGCTCACCATCATTAATCATTAGAGATGCAGATCAAAACAATAATGAGATATCATGTGACCCCAGCAATAACAGCAAAGGTCAACAAAACAGAAGACAGCAAATGCTGGTGAGGGTGTGGAAAGATTAGAACTCTCATACCATGGGGGAGGGGGTGTAAAATGGTGCAACCACTGTGGAAAACAGCATGTGTTGTTGTTGTTGTTGTTGTTGTTATGTGCCGTCAAGTTGGACCTGACTCACAGCAACCCCTCTTTGGGTTTCTGAGGCAGTATCACTACAGAAGTAGATTGCCCAACCTTCCTTCCGAGGAGTAGCTGGTGGGTTTGAACCATCAGCCTTCTGGTTAGCAGTCAAGTGCCTTAGGCACTACGCTACAAGAGTACCCGGAAAACAGTCTACACACTGCCGTCAAGTCGGATCTGACTCATAGCGACCCCTCCTTGGGTTTCCGAGGAGACATCACAACAGAAGTAGATTGTCCAACCTTCCTTCTGAAGAGTGGCTGGTGGGT